GAGCGCCTGGTGACTGGGCTTTTGCAGTAATCGGACCTGTTCCCGGTGAGGGTTGGACTTTGCCAGGGTTCATAACCTTAATGGACAGAATTTCTAGCCGCAGCAGGGTGATGGAAGGTTAGGGTTACATTAAACCAGGTAAGCGGAAGATGCTAATACAGTATGGTAATTAGTCTTTTCTAAAACTTGCCCTATGTAACCCCAGTTCCACTCACTACGGCGAGTGGTAGGTGTACAGGGACCAGTGTACTAAGTTCGGTGGGAGCAGTGACAAAGGAGCAGTCCCGACCACAGACTTCAGAGAACTTTTTACACCTCACTTTTACTGAGGGAAAAAAAAATAAAAATAAAGAGGGAGGGGAAGAAAAATCAAAATAGATATATATATATATATATACACATACACACCCACCTAAATACATATACAAAAAAAACAATTGTAGTAAAGGTATCTTGCCAAAGGGCACAATGAGTTTACTCCCCTTTTAAATTATATTTCTTCTTTAAATAAAATAGAAATTCCCAAAACCATATGATTACAACTTCTGACCTCCGTACAATATCAATTTCCAACGACAAAAATACAGGGACAGATGTACAAATGACAATTGGAGAAGTAACACAAAACAAAACAAAAGAAAATAAAATAATAGAGGTACACCGATTAATTTCAGTCACCGTTGGTGACCTCAGGTGAAGAAAAAACTTAGCTCAATGTCCAAAGTGGAGTTCACTGGGTGGCTCGCCATCGCAGTTAGGATCTCTGCAGCGCTGAGGCCGAAGGTTCCCAATAAAAAAACCCGACCTGTATAGTAGTACAGTGCCGTACAAAACTTGTCAATTACCAAAAAAAAAATACAATATCCCCTTTCCTTCCACTACACACAAATCACATAGGGGGAAAAAAAAAAATAACAAAACCAAAGATTGCCGTACACAGCCTCCAAGATGGCAGATTCACGAAAAGGGTAACAGAAATGGCGCCAGTATACTCACTACGGTAAAACACTAATCAACAGTAGCGTCACTCCTATTACGCACCTCAAACTACATCCATAATTTACAATACAGTAATTATAATAATGCGATTATTACCGGCGAGCTATACTTAAACCAAAACTTTAAAATAAATACACACAGCTCTAGTGAACAAAGCAAAAAAACTCACCAATATTTTTAAGTCCTTTTGACAGAACCTGGTTTTCTCTCTCAACACGAAAAGTTGAATAACTTTAAGGCAAGTATTAATGATTTCTTTTTTCTTTCTTTCTTTATTTTTTTTTTTTTATTTTGCGTCCCGTTCTTTTTTTTTCCTTTCCCCAACTCCTATCACTCTGCCAACATGGCTTCTTTATCACGGAAAAAAAAACCTCCTTGCTTAGACCAGACCACCTCTGATTGGCCCAGTCATCCCTACATTTTATTTCAGCATTTTATACCATTTCCCACTCTTAAAGTGATATGTCAGTCCCCAACACAGATAAAAAACAAAATGTATATTAAAAAAATTAAAACTAACTAAAATCAATAAATTTCCCCCTTTCTTTGTATTTTTGGGGTTTTTGCATATATTTTTTTCCTCTCTGCCCCATTTTAAGCTGGGTTACACTCTCCCCCCCTTAATCAATGCACGTCCCGTTGCATTCCTGATAAAGTAACATATTACACTTCATAAACATTCCCTGGAATTGCTTGTGGTCCCATGGAGTAAGAATCTGTCAGCGAATTGGTCACAGCCGTGCTTAAACTCTGTAATAGTGACTGCACCACAGACACTAAAGGATTTCCTAATTCAGGGTACGTGAGCATTTTTGGTCTGTTTCTGGGCCTAGTTGATCTCCTTGCCATTCCCTCTTCTGTACCAACTACAGTTTCTCTTCGATCCTCGTGTTCAGCTTGTTCATCCATTTCCCTTGATTCTTCCCTCAAAACACCCGGTGAGCTATCATCCCTTTGCGTGGACTCATACTCCCCCTCAAGGCAGGCCAAAGGTTCTGGAGATGAGTCAACTGCGTTAGTAGAACTGCATGGAATACCTAAATCATCTGGTATTTGTTCGTCACATAGTTCTCCTATTGCAGAGTTGTCTATTATAGTCTGAGGGATACCGGAGCCGGTTGCAGCTATATCACTATCCTCCTGCTGAACTGAAAAGTGTGGATTGTGAGGTGACCGACTCACACGATCAAGCCTAACATGATCAGGTGACCTCTTGTTGGTACACATTCTGAAGAACCTTGAAGATGGTGTAATCTGGGGCTCTACATGGTATTCAAGGTAGCCATCGTCTGAACTAAACTCTGAGCACTTATCACTAGCATGCATCATCTGACGTGTTACAGGGCGTCTTTTTGGCTGAGGCTTCTCTGTAGAGTTCGATGGTAAAAATCCACAGGGCAACAGAAGATCTCTATGCAATGTGCGCAGAGGACCATCCTTGCCTTCCGGCCTCACGGTATACACGGGCAGATCTCCGGCTCGACCAGCAACAACGTATACAGATGACTCCCACTTGTCCGCCAATTTGTGCTTTCCTCTCAATCGTACATTTCTAACTAACACACGGTCCCCAACATCCAGCATGGACTCTGTGACATGCCTGTCAAAACGGAGCTTGTTTTTCCTTGCAACTTTAGCAGTTTTCATCGAAGCTAGTTTATAACTCTCCTCAAGATGTTTTTTTAGATTCTGGACGTACTGAGAATGGGACTTCAACTGAGCTTTATTCAGTGGTACGTTAAATACAAGGTCTATTGGCAATCGGGGCTGCCGTCCAAACATTAATTCATACGGAGTGAAGCCTGTAGTGTCATGCTTGGTACAATTGTAAGCATGTACTAGCGGCTTTACAAAATCACGCCAGTGTGTCTTCTCTGGATCTTTAAGGGTACCTAGCATGCTTAAGAGGGTCCTGTTGAACCGCTCAACCGGGTTTCCCCTAGGATGGTATGGCGTAGTCCGGACCTTATGAATTCCAGCCAGTAGGCATAATTCCTTAATAGTTTTGGACTCAAAATCTGTACCCTGATCGCTATGTAACTTTTCAGGAAACCCATAATGAACAATAAAGTTCTCCCAAAGGCACTTGGCAACTGTTCTGGCCTTCTGATTAGGTGTAGGGATGGCCACAGCATATTTCGTAAAAAAATCAGTTATGACCAAGATATCCTTTGTGTTACTACGGTCAGGCTCCAAGGACAAGAAATCCATACAAACCAGCTCAAGAGGTCTGGTAGCTTGGATGTTAACCAAGGGGGCAGCCTTTTGTGGCATTGCTTTCCTACGGACACATCGATCACAGGTCTTGATTTTTTGCTCAACATCAGCGGCCATCCTAGGCCAGTAAAACCTGGACCGTACAAGATCTAGGGTGCGATCGACTCCTAAATGGCCCATTTCATCATGTAATTTGGACATGACGGTACTTCGCAGTTCCTCCGGTAAGACCAGCTGATGTTGAGTTTCGCCTTTGTCTTGCCTCCTTCTGTAAAGAATTCCATCCTTCAGTTCCAGCTTGTTCCACTCTCGAAGCATAAGGGGTAGATCAGGTAGTTCCTTTCGTAGGGTTGGAGGGGGCATCTGTTCTGTCTCCTTCTGGAAGATAACTTCCCTGATGGTTGAATCAGCCCTTTGCTTCTCTTTCAACTCATCAGTGGATAACGTAGGAGCTAACTCTATACCTCCAAATGAGACTTCAACCTCAAAACTGTCAGGAATAGCTTCTGGGTGCGTAGCAAGCGACTCCACCAACGGGATTTCAACACTTTGCTGCCCACTATTCAATGCCCGAGTAACAAGATGTTTCTCACAGATGGCTCTAACTACATTATCAGTGATCAGGGTATCAGCTTCTGACAGGTGGCTTCTTGTGAACTGATCAATGCGCTCTCGTTCTTTCTGTGAAATAAGGTCATCAATAAGTTTCCCATGGGGACGTCGAGATAAACCATCTGCATCTAGGTTGCGCTTCCCCGACCTATACTGCAGTCTAAAGGTAAATGTCGACAGGGCGGACAGCCACCTGTAGCCGGTTGCATCCAGCTTTGCAGACGTTAATATGTATGTCAAAGGGTTGCTGTCAGTCACCACAGTGAAGGAACTCCCATATAGGTAGTCATTGAACTTCTCCGTTACTGCCCATTTTAATGCGAGAAATTCTAACTTATGAGCTGGATAACAGGACTCACTTTTGGTTAACCCTCGACTGGCAAACGCTATTACTCGCATCTGTCCCTCCTGCTCCTGGTAAAGAGCTGCACCCAACCCTGTAGTACTTGCATCTGTGTGCAGTACATAGGGCAGCCTGGGGTCAGAGAAACCAAGCACAGGAGCCAAGGTCAACTTGGCAATGATTGCACCAAAAGCCTGTTGACAGTCATCAGTCCAACGGGCCCCAAAAGGTTCTTTGAAGTTAAAGTATGTGGCACTTTTCACCTTTGCCATTTTATTCCTTCTAACTGGGGGGTAACCTGCCGTCAAGTCAGTTAAAGGTTTCACAATTTTAGAATAGTTTTCAATAAACCTCCTATAATAGCCAGAGAACCCAAGGAATGAACGTAACTCTTTCAAAGTTTTGGGAACTGGCCAACTTTTTAGAGCCTCAATTTTTTCTGGATCAGTCTCTACACCATTTTCAGAAACAATATGCCCCAAGTACCTCACTGAAGTCTGGAAAAACCTGCATTTTTCCAGTGAAAGCTTAAGCCCATACTCTTTTAACCTATGCAGAACAAGCAGCAGTCGGGCTTCGTGCTCCTCCAAAGTCTGAGAAAACACAATGATGTCATCTAAAAACACAAGCACTTCCTTCAGATTAATGCTAGCCATGCACTTTTCCATCAATCGTTGGAAGGAACTAGGCGCATTAGTGATGCCCTGAGGCATCCTGTTGAATTCCCAGAAGCCTAACGGACAAACAAATGCCGTTTTATGTTTGTCAGCTTCGTCAACCTCAATCTGGTAATACCCCGACTTGAGGTCCAGCACAGAAAACCATTTGGAGCCGGTGAGTGCAGAGAAGGTTTCTTCCAAGTTGGGAAGTGCATAAGCATCTTTGATGGTCTGCAGGTTGAGTTTTCTGTAATCGATACACAGTCGGACATCGCCATTTTTCTTCCGTGCCACTACAATAGGTGATGCGAAAGGAGACTCTGATTCTCGAATAACTCCAGCTTCGAGTAATTCCTGCAAGTGCCTGCGGACTGCATCCAAATCTTGTGGGTGGATGGGACGGGCTCTTTGTTTGAAAGGTGTCTGATCATGTAATTTAATTTTATGTTGTACTTTATCTGTCCGCCCAAAATCCAAATCATGCTGAGCAAATACCTCTGGCATACTACTCAACNGTACCTAGCATGCTTAAGAGGGTCCTGTTGAACCGCTCAACCGGGTTTCCCCTAGGATGGTATGGCGTAGTCCGGACCTTATGAATTCCAGCCAGTAGGCATAATTCCTTAATAGTTTTGGACTCAAAATCTGTACCCTGATCGCTATGTAACTTTTCAGGAAACCCATAATGAACAATAAAGTTCTCCCAAAGGCACTTGGCAACTGTTCTGGCCTTCTGATTAGGTGTAGGGATGGCCACAGCATATTTCGTAAAAAAATCAGTTATGACCAAGATATCCTTTGTGTTACTACGGTCAGGCTCCAAGGACAAGAAGTCCATACAAACCAGCTCAAGAGGTCTGGTAGCTTGGATGTTAACCAAGGGGGCAGCCTTTTGTGGCATTGCTTTCCTACGGACACATCGATCACAGGTCTTGATTTTTTGCTCAACATCAGCGGCCATCCTAGGCCAGTAAAACCTGGACCGTACAAGATCTAGGGTGCGATCGACTCCTAAATGGCCCATTTCATCATGTAATTTGGACATGACGGTACTTCGCAGTTCCTCCGGTAAGACCAGCTGATGTTGAGTTTCGCCTTTGTCTTGCCTCCTTCTGTAAAGAATTCCATCCTTCAGTTCCAGCTTGTTCCACTCTCGAAGCATAAGGGGTAGATCAGGTAGTTCCTTTCGTAGGGTTGGAGGGGGCATCTGTTCTGTCTCCTTCTGGAAGATAACTTCCCTGATGGTTGAATCAGCCCTTTGCTTCTCTTTCAACTCATCAGTGGATAACGTAGGAGCTAACTCTATACCTCCAAATGAGACTTCAACCTCAAAACTGTCAGGAATAGCTTCTGGGTGCGTAGCAAGCGACTCCACCAACGGGATTTCAACACTTTGCTGCCCACTATTCAATGCCCGAGTAACAAGATGTTTCTCACAGATGGCTCTAACTACATTATCAGTGATCAGGGTATCAGCTTCTGACAGGTGGCTTCTTGTGAACTGATCAATGCGCTCTCGTTCTTTCTGTGAAATAAGGTCATCAATAAGTTTCCCATGGGGACGTCGAGATAAACCATCTGCATCTAGGTTGCGCTTCCCCGACCTATACTGCAGTCTAAAGGTAAATGTCGACAGGGCGGACAGCCACCTGTAGCCGGTTGCATCCAGCTTTGCAGACGTTAATATGTATGTCAAAGGGTTGCTGTCAGTCACCACAGTGAAGGAACTCCCATATAGGTAGTCATTGAACTTCTCCGTTACTGCCCATTTTAATGCGAGAAATTCTAACTTATGAGCTGGATAACAGGACTCACTTTTGGTTAACCCTCGACTGGCAAACGCTATTACTCGCATCTGTCCCTCCTGCTCCTGGTAAAGAGCTGCACCCAACCCTGTAGTACTTGCATCTGTGTGCAGTACATAGGGCAGCCTGGGGTCAGAGAAACCAAGCACAGGAGCCAAGGTCAACTTGGCAATGATTGCACCAAAAGCCTGTTGACAGTCATCAGTCCAACGGGCCCCAAAAGGTTCTTTGAAGTTAAAGTATGTGGCACTTTTCACCTTTGCCATTTTATTCCTTCTAACTGGGGGGTAACCTGCCGTCAAGTCAGTTAAAGGTTTCACAATTTTAGAATAGTTTTCAATAAACCTCCTATAATAGCCAGAGAACCCAAGGAATGAACGTAACTCTTTCAAAGTTTTGGGAACTGGCCAACTTTTTAGAGCCTCAATTTTTTCTGGATCAGTCTCTACACCATTTTCAGAAACAATATGCCCCAAGTACCTCACTGAAGTCTGGAAAAACCTGCATTTTTCCAGTGAAAGCTTAAGCCCATACTCTTTTAACCTATGCAGAACAAGCAGCAGTCGGGCTTCGTGCTCCTCCAAAGTCTGAGAAAACACAATGATGTCATCTAAAAACACAAGCACTTCCTTCAGATTAATGCTAGCCATGCACTTTTCCATCAATCGTTGGAAGGAACTAGGCGCATTAGTGATGCCCTGAGGCATCCTGTTGAATTCCCAGAAGCCTAACGGACAAACAAATGCCGTTTTATGTTTGTCAGCTTCGTCAACCTCAATCTGGTAATACCCCGACTTGAGGTCCAGCACAGAAAACCATTTGGAGCCGGTGAGTGCAGAGAAGGTTTCTTCCAAGTTGGGAAGTGCATAAGCATCTTTGATGGTCTGCAGGTTGAGTTTTCTGTAATCGATACACAGTCGGACATCGCCATTTTTCTTCCGTGCCACTACAATAGGTGATGCGAAAGGAGACTCTGATTCTCGAATAACTCCAGCTTCGAGTAATTCCTGCAAGTGCCTGCGGACTGCATCCAAATCTTGTGGGTGGATGGGACGGGATCTTTGTTTGAAAGGTGTCTGATCATGTAATTTAATTTTATGTTGTACTTTATCTGTCCGCCCAAAATCCAAATCATGCTGAGCAAATACCTCTGGCATACTACTCAACTTCTGAATTATCCTCTCTTTCCATTCCGGGGGCAAGGGGGAATCAGCAAAATTAAAAGCTGAACCTCCAACAGAAGTCCGTGAGCTATCGACTGGGTTGGTCCTACTGGGAATCACTTGCTGCAATGCATGCAACTTAGCAACAATGCTCCTAGGTTGAATGGTCACATCATGCTTTGTCTCATTAATCAGCAATACAGGGAGTTTCTGGGGTGCCTTACCGTGCAAGGTCAGGAGACAATTTGGAACTACAATTCCACTTGGCAGGGATGATGCCGAAGGAGATTCAAGTATGACAGACTGAACTACACTGAGGTTGTGAGCCCTGACTGATCCTTCCAAGACCCTCTTCTGGCCAGCAGGAATAACTTGTGGCTCCCTTCCTGACAGGTGCACATGTCCTATGTCACTGCATTCATTTTGTCTATGCCTAAGTTCAAGGGTTTTCAGGACTGTTTTGTAGCCACCCTGCCATGACATATGTTGATTCTGCCCTGTCTTCATGTGATTCCTGTACACTAAATCAAGGGTATTTGTACCTATCAGTATAGTGGGCTGATGAGAAGCTTGAATATCTGGGACAACAAGGGCAATGGTAGTGACTTCTACCTCGGCCCCTAGGAACTCTTTTGGAAAAGTGATAACCACCTCAATGTAACCTAAGTAAGGTACAGTTAGGCCATTTGCTGCTTCAACTTCTAGTAAGTTGTGCAGAGGCTTGATCGTAATGCCTGAAAGGTTTTGCTCATAAAAAGACTGCGGTACGGTGGAAACCTGAGACCCTGTGTCCAGCAGACATTGACACAGCTTCCCAGCGATGAGTACTTCAACTGTGCACTTTGCTCCTATTAGGCCCTTCGGCAGACCAACAGGGTATGGGATTGTATTGCTAAGCCAGTGATGCACATGCCGCTTAATGATTCTGGGACGACTCTGAAATTTCCCAGCCCTTGTTTGTCCCATAACAGGGGCTGACACTAATTTAAAGGACTTGTTCCCTTGGGGCTATGATGGGCTTCCCAGGCTTTCTGCCTCTCATTCAGTTTCTTCCTCTTTGAAGCTACTAGGGCTGGGTTGGGGTCATTACTACAACTAGCTGCAATGTGCCCATCTTCGCCACACTGAAAGCAGTACCAGGGTTTTGGCTTCTGACTCAATGACTGTAAAGCCTTAGAGGAGACTGTGGCTGATTTAGTGTCCTCAGTCTGGCCATCACCTTTCCTGCCTGTCTTATGCTTCTGTGGCTTGGCAGTGTCTAACAATTGACTCTTAAGCTCAGATATTTCTCGTCTCAGCTCTTCAGTGATATCCCCAGGTATCCTTTTTGATGGCAACTGACACTTTCTCAGTTCAGCAACCTGGGCCCTGAGTTCAACAACTTGCTTCTGCAATTGAGCTACACCTTCCACCTGCAATGACCCACTCGGCTTATGCTCACCCTGACATACAGTTTGGCAGTGGGAGGTGGCTCTCGGCTTGGACACTCCTAAATGCATTTTCATCCTAATATCCTTTGCAGCTTGCCTATCCTCCTCTATACGCAACTGCAAAAGCAGTTCGGCGAAGGGAGGTGGTTTTTCTTTTTTTTGCTCAAGCTGCAGAACGGAGATCAATGTGTTGTCCCAACACCCACGACAAAACTGCCTCAATAAATGCTGGTCAGCCTTATCACCAGAGATGCTGCCACCCTTCACAGCCTTACTCAACGCTACCTGTAGGCGCTGACAATACAGGGATGGCTTCTCTCCCACATTCTGCACAGTGTTCAGAAACCTGGAAAAGAGTTCATCCCCGTCCTCCACCGTGCCGAAAGCAGAATCAAGGATATTGAGGTAAGCAGCAGGTAAGGCTTGGGGTCCTAGAGGCTTGATAACATCTGATGCGGGGGAAAGTAAACTGTCAAGAATCCTCCGTGACCGTTGTAGGTCAGACAGAGTTGGATCTTGCATGAGGAGCTCGACACTGGTTCGCCATGTCTCATAGTCAGCTTCATTGCTTGGGCGAGGCCCTCTACCAGAGAAAACTCTGAGCCTTAGAGGTGCATGCATTTGCGATCCCCCTCCTTCATTTTTCACAATGTGCTCTACAATAACGCGTTGAATCTCAGGGGGATTAATGTCACTTACTGAAATCATAGGGGGACATCTGTTCTTTGCAGACAGCTTTGCAGCAGAGGGTTCCTCATTTCTTATCTTTTTCAAGCCCACTTCTCTGGACTGAGAGGGTTCAGTCTCCACTGTCATCTCACTACTGGGCACGGGGACAGATTCACGTTGACCTTGCGGACGAGACTGCATTATGGTTTCATCCGGAACAGCATCCGGCTGGGATGCGAAAATTTCGCTGCACCTCGCTAACTCCTCCTTCAAAACATCATCAAACGACCTTCCACTCATCCTAGCAATCCTCTGTAGTCTAACTAAATAGTCCTCTGTAGCATTACCAGCTGCGGTTGGTAGGTACACTTTTGAGAGTGCCCTTAACTTAAACGTTACACCAGGCTTGCTGGGACTTTCAAAGGTTAGAGGTAGCAATGACTCAAGAATCTTCAGTGCAAGGCCACTATCATACTCAGCTATCACATTTTTGTGGAACTCTGATTTAGGGTTGTCCACACGTATGACTCTTAACACTGTGCCATATTTGCTCAAGAAGTCAACTAGTTCACTATCAATTTCAGTGTCTGTGATGCCACTAACAAGAACCGAATTAGGGACCTTAATGTTCTCAGTATCTACTATCTCCATATTGATCAGGTTTTTTTTTTTTCTTTTCCAATTTGGTAAGTTTCAGCTTGTCTGTGGTAGAGGATGCTTACCCACTGCTCCTGGCTGGCTCGCCAAGTTTACTGTAACCCCAGTTCCACTCACTACGGCGAGTGGTAGGTGTACAGGGACCAGTGTACTAAGTTCGGTGGGAGCAGTGACAAAGGAGCAGTCCCGAC